TTGATTCTTCATTGTGATTGTTATATCCTTCAGTAGCTTCAAGCCTATTTTCAAAACTCAGGAGGATAGAGTGAACTTCTCTTAAAGTGCAAGGTTCAGATCTGGAGGCAAGGGACACCATCACTGCATTATACTCAGATCCAAGTCCTGAGATAATGTGAGTTATCTGATCTGTTTCATCGATTCTTTGCCCAGCTGAAGCCAACAAGTCACAGCATTGTTTCACTTTGCTCAAGTACTCTCTCATTGGGAGGTTACCTTTCTTGAAGGTTTGGAGTTGCAGTTTGTACTGCATGATCTTGGCTTGGTTTTGGCTAGCAAAGGTGACTCTGAGAGACTCCCATATTTCTCTTGCTGTGGTAAGCCCTACAGTTGAGATTAGCACACTTTCTGAGAGTGAAGATAGCAACCAGGATGCTAAGAGTTGGTCTTGTCTCATCCATGCTGAGAAGAGTGGATTTGTTGTGGCTCCTTCACTAGATCCAGTGGGTAAGTGCTCTTCTGGTTTGGGTAAAGACCCATCGAGGTACCCCATTAATCCATACCCTCTTGTTGCTGCCAAGATCTGTTGCTGCCAGATCAAATAGTTACTGTCAGTGAGCTTTACTGTGATTAACTGACTTTGTGGTTGGATGATTTGATCTGGGCTGTTGCTTGTGGCTGTGGATAAGAAACTCATTTTCGGATAAGGTTAAGAAGAAGCCAAAGAAATAAACAAAGAAATGAAAAAGATAGGTCCTCAGATACAGGATGAGATCATCCTGCTCTGATACCATAAAGGAAAATCAGATGCAACATGGAATAGGAAAACATTGAGCTAAAAGCTTTGATCTTCATTAATTCTTTATCATAAAAACAGCTGCTATTTTGTCTCAGTTTTCGATGAATACAAAATGGAGATGAGGTGATATTTATATCACATTCTCTTAGCTATTGTGAACCACACAAAACAAACCCTAAAGAGATAAGATGGCATTTTCCTTTTTGACAGCTCATAATTCTTGTACTACATTAAGCATTCCAACTTTTGTTCTTTTATGCTGCATGGCCCCATTACACGTATGCATGGATGATGTGGAGCAAGGTATTGACGTGGCAAGGCTCTCATAACTACACTGTTGACTTTCTTGACTTTGAATCCTTTACCCACCGCATAACTTTGCTAAACAACGTGTAATTTTTCACAAGTAGTTTATAGACGTGCTTACTATTGAGTATTTATATGAGGACTACAACTAGTTTACAACAATTTTGAAACATTTTTTTTTTTAATGTATATCGGTTTTCCAAAGTGAGGTATTGTAGATCCAATTGGTTCAATTGCTTCATTAAGTGAAACTCAAACATACTGTATACAACTTTGGATAAAATCTTTCTGTTTGGGTAGCACAATATAAATCCAAAACAAGACCATGATAATTTGTGTCCATTTTAGTACATCGAAAAAATCCCCACCCTTATGATTTTTTTT